AAAAGAAAAAATGGTAATTTATTTCTTGGAAACACTGCGCAATACAAGGGAACAAAGAAAGGCCACGGGTCACCAGTGTTTGCCTCTGTTATGATCCAGCCATGTCCTTTTATGGAACAATGTCACAGTATCAGGACTACAGATTCATACATTTATTTTGTTTGAGGCAGGGTCTCTCCCTGGCTGGACTGGGGCTTGCAATAGAGACCAGGCTGGCCTCAGATTTGTGAAGATCATTATGCCTCTGTCTCCAGGGTGCTAGGGTTACAGGCATATGCCACCACTCCCAGCATATAGCACTCTTTAACCCCAACTATAAAATTTATCATCCAGATAACTCCTTACACAATATTGTTATTAGGGTATAAACCTACTTATTGCTACATTACTATTATTAATAGCAAAAATAGGAAGTAAGTATCCAAATATAAGATGAATTAAACAATAGAATTTTATGTGGCTAAAAGAGGAAATTTTCAACATAGCAACATAAAAGTATCAGTCAGGATTCTCCAGAAAAGCAGCATCGCTTGAAGTCAGCACAAAAGTAGAACCAAAAGAAAAACACCTAGTGGTTGCTTTGGTGTGAGGAGCTGGCTCACTCCATTATGGAGGCTGGTGAGCCCCATGGTCACTTGACTGAGGTAAATCCCACGTAACTTGATAGAGGTACAGGAAGGCAAGTGCTTCATATGGTTCCAGTGCAAGTTCTGAGGCTTGAAAACTAGGAGAGCTAATGGGGGTAGCTCTGGTCCAAAGGCCATTAGGCTCAGGCTTAAGACTCAGCAAGAGCCAGTGTTTCTGTTTGAGTCTGAAGAGAAAGGGAGGTGGGGCTGAGGTGCCAGTTCAAAAACCATCAGACTATAAGAATCCTCTCATACCTAAGGGACAATTAGCCTTTGTGTTCTACTTATCCTTGCACGGGTTGGATGAGGCCAGCCTACCCACAGAAGGTAGAGCAATCTGCTTTACTCCTTACCGATCTACTAATATCCCAGAACACACTCACAGAGCATTTAGAACAATGCTGATTAAGTAACTGGGTGCCCTGTGGTCCAGTTAAGTTGGTTCATAAAATTAATCCCCACGGATCTACAAGAGGGTCAGAACATAGTGCAACACATCATCCTGTGTGTAAAGAAGAAACATCAGGCAACAACAAATGCACCCTAGCACACAAAACCTGCTGTACTCCTACCTAAGTGCTAGGGTTATTGCTGTGCTTAGTGTATGCCCATGGTCCCAGACTCAAGAGTCTGTGGCACAGGGTTTTGAGTAGAAGGACTACTTAGAGAGACCCTGTCTCAAAAGAAACAAGTGAAAACATTCTGGAAGGATAGCCAAGCACACTTTCCATTTTTTGTTTTTATTTTCCTTTTGTTGTACATGTGTTTTTTTAAAGTCATGGGTATAGTTGGGTGTGGTGGCACACTTCTTTAATCCCAGCATTCGGGAGGCAGAGGCAGATGGATCTCTGAGTGCAAGGCCAGCCTAGTCTACAGAGCAAGTTCCAGGACAGCCAGGGCTATTAAAAGTGAAACCCTCAAAAAACAAACAAAAATCATGGGTAACAAATTTTTTTGTTTGTTTGTTTTGGTTTTTCAAGACAGGGTTTTCTTTTGCAGCCTTGGCTGTCCTAGACTTGCTTTGTAGACCAGGCTGGCCTGGAATTCACAGAGATCTGTTTGCCTCTGTTTCCCTGAGTGCTGGGATTAAAGACATGTGCCACCACACCCAGCTAAGTAACAATTTTTAGATGTCACTTACATACTTTCTCTTTTACAGAGCTGTCATCCTGTTTTTACTCATCTTTAAACATCTGGGGAATTAAGGAATGAATAGAGCGGAGGAAATCAGAATTCATGGATTCAGAGGACAACGTGTGGGAGTCCGTTCAGCTTGGCGGCAGGTGCCTTTACCAGATGAGCCATTTTGCCAGCCTGATTATTTTAATTTGTTATTAAATTTTTATTTGGTCCGCAGCTACTGAGACTGTTTGAGAAGGATTAGGAAGTGTGGGCTTTGCTGGAGAAAGCAAAGCCACAAAGTTTGGCTTTGTGGTCTTATTGGAGGAGATGTGTCTTTGGGGGTGGGCTTTGAGATTTCAGAAGTCATTGCCAAGCACAGTCTTGCTCTCTCTTCCCACAACCTGCAGATTCTGTGTGCTCTCACCTACTGCTCCAGTGCCATGGCCTCCTGCCACCAAGATCCCTGCCATGATGATGGTGAAGTTACCTCTGAAACTGTAAGGAAGCACCCAATTAAATGCTTTCTTTTCAGAGTTGCCTTGGTCATGGTGTCGCCTTACAGCAACTAAGAGAATCCCTAACCTACAAGAATTTTCTTTTTTGAGACAAGGTCTTATGTATTCCAGGCTGGCTGTGGATTTACTATGTAGCCAAGGATAATATTGGATTTCCAATCCTCTAGCCTCTACCTCCCAAGTGCTGAGATGTAGGTGTTGACCGCCAAACCTTGTTTATGTGGTACAACAGGTGGAACACAGGGCTACTTGTGCGCTAGGTAAATATTCTTCCAACTGAGATACAGTTCCTAGCATATTTTTTTGTTGTTCCTCTATTTAAAGATTTATTTATTTATTATGTGTACAGTGTTCTGCCTGCATGTATGCCTGCATGCCTCAAGAGGGCACCAGATCTCACTTTAGATGGCTAAGAGCCACCATGTGATTACTGGGAATTGAACTCAGAACCCCTGGAAGAGCAGCCAGTGCTCTTAACCTCTGAGTGATCTCTCCAGCCCCTCCAAGCATATTCTTAATATTTAGCCTTTCTTTCCATAAACAACTCACATACATAAACCCACCACCCGCCCCAAGAACCAAAGCATTACAAATAACATAAACCAACTGAATTTCTCTCATCTCTCTTCAGCCTCCTCTCAAAGGGAGCCACTACCGTCCCTGGTTTTGCTCTTCTATTACCACAAAAGGAAAAGTGGCTCCCACGGTTCCTCCCAGTGTTGATGCCAGAGGATAGCCCTTCCCTAAACATGGGCTGGACCCAGTGACATGCTCCTAAGAAGCGGAATACAGCAAATGTGTCTGGACATCACTTATATGATTACATTAGGTAAGACTAATTTCCCTTTTGCTACACACTCACTTTTAAAACACTTGTTTTTATTATCTCCAATTATGTGTATCTGTGTGAGTATGGCCTTCAGAGGCCAGAGGTATCAAATCTCCTGAAACTGGAGTTATAGGTGCTTGACACCTGCCAGTCCTGGGTGCTGGAAATTGAATTCTAGTTGTTTTTGTTTGTTTGTTGTGTGTATGAGTGTTTGGTTACAGCACACACTCAACCATCGAGCTTCTCTCCAGCCCCTTTAATTTTTTAATTAATTAATGAAGACAGGGTTTTAGCCTGGATAGCACTTGTTAGCCCTGGATAGCCTGGAATTTGCCATGCAGACCAGGTTGGCCTTGACCTCTCAGAGATTGGATTGCCTCTGCCTCCCAAGGGCTGGGATTAAAGTCTTGCAGTACCACAACTGGTTTACTAGCCGGCTCTTTCTCATTTGTTGGCTTTGATAAGGTAAGCTACTAGGAGCTTGGTAAAAATAAGATACTATGGAGCCAGTGAGATGGCTCAGTGGAAAAAGGCATTTGCCACAACTTGAGTTGTGATGTGTATAGATCAGAGAACACTTGTGGAAGTCTCCTTCCACTGTGTATCAGGGTCTCCCTCTCTCTTTCTATCTCTTTCTCTCTCACACATAGACAAACACACAAACACACACTCCTCACAGTGGCATACATATGCACACATACATAAATTAAAGTCCAAATTTGAAAAGTTTTTGAAGTAAGCTATTCTAAAAAAAAAAAAAAACACAAAAAAACGGAGCAGTCACAAGCCAGCAATCATCAAAACCCTGGAGCCCAGCAACCCACAAGGGACCGACTTGCTAACAACAGTGTGCCTCCTTCCCCAGTTGAGCTTAAGCCTGCGGATGAGGTCACAGTTCTAGCTGACCTTAGCCTTGTAAGCGTCCTGGAAGCTGAAGATCCATGTATGTACACACACATATCATATGTATGTACATATATATATATATATATATATATATATATATATATACACACACACACACATATAAGTACATAATACATATATGTGTGTACATACATGTAGGCCTGGTGTCCGTGGAGGTCAGAGGAGGGTGCTAGCACGCCTGGACCTGGAGTGATGAACAAGTGTGAACTGCTCTGTAGGTGCTGGGAATGGAATCTGGCCCCCCTGTAAGAATAGTAAATGCCCTTAATGGCTGAGCTGTGCCTCCAGCACATTGGTTCAGTTCTGTATGAGCGTTGTAGTGAGTCTCCCAAAACACAGGGCACAGGATCCCCCATGCAATATACTGAATGTAGGCCTACGAATGGAATTTGCCAGACCTTGGAATTTACAGTGTTGAACATTATTGTCAATCAGCAAATCATTAGAGTGAAGATCATACCATGACCAGGGTGTCAAGTAAATGTTGCCACTGTCCATAGAATTGAGATCAGCATGTGGATGGGGCTAAGAGTCATACAGAAAGCTAATTTAAGAGAGTCTGTGGCAAGGTTGGGAACGGAAGTGGCCACAATTGGTGAAAATCTGCATCTTGGGCTTAGACAGGGTTTAAGGACACCTGAAAGGGACAGAGGTCCCCCCAGTGCTAGAAGTAGGCTGTCACCCTTCACAAATCTGCCGATTGGCAGAGCATCAGTCTAACAAGCAGTAGGAACCATTACAGGAGACCCATCCACCCTTAATCTCACCACTCGGGAGGCAGAGGCAGGTTGATCCCTGGGTTAGAAGCCAGCCCAGTCTACAGAGTGAGCTCCAGGACAGCTGTCTCGAAAAACAAAACAAAACAAAACAAAACAAAAAAGGACATCTAGGTGAAAAGGGATAAAGATCAAATCAGGAACTCGCTGCTTTTGGGGGTCCATGCGGGCAGAAAGAGGCAGGCAGGCACAGGAGAGAAGGCGCAACACCACCTTTAATGGAGACAACGCTGCCCTGTCTTCACCAGGCCCTCCTTACAATGCTCCCAGAGAGGAGGGCGATTGCACAGCTGGATGCCGCCCTTACTCCTGGCTGCTTATCCCTTCCTCTCCAGCTTCTGTGGTCTCCAGCCCCGAGATGGGTCCCATGCCGGCCCACAAGAGGGGCGAGAGAACTCCTCAGTTTCCGAGGGTGGCTTCTCGCGTGTCCGAGGCCGTGGAGAACTAGCTTGGATGGAGCCGGGGCTATCTTCTAAGCTGAGAAGGGAACCGCTTCTACTGGTGTGGAGCCTGCCCAAGGTCGGCCTCTCCAGGCCCAGCGCCGGGAGCGTCAAAGTGGACATGGTTTGGGAAATTATGCCACGTGTTCGTACTGGTTTTCTGGGCTGTGGAAAGTGGTCCTTTCTCCTGGCCCAGATGGAGTGTAAGGAGGAGGATCAGTCCCTGGCCTCGGCCGGGAGCACCCCCACGTTCGCCCGAACCCTCCGCAGCCTGGAGCCACAGCTGCAGGAGGCGCTAGTGAGCAGCTCGCTCTGCCCTCCCAGTCCTGCGTCCGCAGGTGAGTGGGTGGGTCGCGGCATCTGGGCTCTGGCGGGTACCGGGGAGCCCCGCGCGCGCAGCCCAGGCACGGCTCACCGCTGCTTGCGCTCCGCCTGCTGGAGCCGCCGGGAGAGGTCATCGATGCGCACGTTCTTGAGCTGGAGCAAGTGTTCCAGACGCTTCACCTTCATCTGCAGGACCTGGGTGGCCGCACAGAGACATCAGGCCTGAAGCCCCGCTGCTCTGCCAGTGCTCTGCCCCTTAGGCCTCGGTGTCCCCCTCCTCACCTGCACTGTCTCTTGTGAGGCCAGCAGCTCCTGCTCCTTTTCAGCGATCTGGAGGATGACGCTCGGATCGCCCTGCAGCGCCTGGTTATACCCAGGGGGTCGGGGCACCGGTGGCCGGCCCCCTCTGTAGTGGGTAGCAGCTTAGCAGAGGGCCTGGACGGCAGACCCGACCGTTCCCTTGGCCAGGCCTTCCCTCTTCTCCCTCTTCGCTTTCTCCCCACCTCCCAACCGACAAAGCGCTGTGCAGTGAAGTTACCAAGCCTGGAGAGGTCAGAGCTCTCAGCTTTACCTGAGCTGCTCTCCTCCCAGGGCCGGGGCACCGTCTCCACGAGCCTTCTGGGACAAACCTAGGACAAAGCAAGCACGTGGAGAAGTGACCTTGCTGGAGTCTTGAAGTGACCCTAAAATTAAATAAAGGGACATGGGGGAGACTTCTTCTGAGATAAGGGGGAAGGCACCTTACCCATATCCATGTAGCCACTGCTATCCTGAGGAGCCAGCTCCTGAAAGAACAGATGTGGTCTCCTATGAGCCTGGGCTCGTCTGTCTCCGAGAAGCCCTGCTTCCCTTCCACATTCCTGGATGCTACATTCTCTCAGCTAGGTACCTCTGTCTTCCTATTCATCGCCAAGCCAGGGCTCTCCACCGTCTGGGGAACAACACACACACACACACACACACACACACACACACACACACACACACA